CCCCCCCCCCCCCCTCCCTGAGCACAAGGACCTCTACACGCCGATCTCGCCATGCAGGCGGCATAAAAACGACGAGTTGTAATCAAAGTACATTTACAAACCCTGTCAAACTGTACAATTCCCTTTATCCCTGCAAATGTACTGGCCGTATGCGTGCGAAAGAACACTGGGCAGTACTTCCGATTGGAAGCTGCGCTCCATTCAGCTGCTTCAACGTAAATCTAAGGAAGAGAAAATTAAATCCATTAAGCGCAATTTATCGTTGCCTGAATCTGACCCGAACCTACACAATAATGAGAAGCACGGCGTTTATGGAACCGTATTGTAACACGAACCCCCCGGGATGTAGCGCAAAAAACAACCTGTAATACTGGGCGGTACTTATTTCCGTGCCTTGCCAAACCTTGTTTAAGGTGCTAACAACTCAGACGTAAAGTCACTCTTCGGTGGGCCCGGAGATCCATAGTATAAACAAAATCATCTTGAATGCAACCAAGCGAAACCTGTTGAGATCATCCGGGTAGGAAGGAGAGTGGATTTGGCCCTTCACTGCATAAAACGCCGAAAGTTTGCTCCACGCAAAGTAAGAATATTTGCTGATGCGGCCCGTTATCCTGTCGGTGGCAATCAGTACTATAATTAATTAGGATGGAGTGGCGCTCAGTGAACAATTTACGGGACATGCTCGTCTCGTTGTGCTTTTATTTGCAGTTAACACCTCACCAGATAGGTAGGTCCAGACCTTGACAGTCCTGTCAATGCGTAGCTGTCTTTCATTTCGTGCATTCTAAATTACCGAAAAAAGATTTGGGCTGAGAGAGCGAGGCCGATAGAGTGAAGTACTTACCCTGGACCTCTTCTAGTAGAAGCATGAGTTTGTAGAAACTAGGATAGCCTGAAAGGGAGAGAGCAGGGAGTGACTATGACCAAATTTCGTTAGCTCCTGTAAGGCGGCGGACAGGATGCTTTAGGGAGAAATAGATGACGCAGTTCAGTGACGGCAAATTGAGGGCGAGCAACGAGGTGTGCCGCGAATGCCCACGAGGATGGGTTCTGGCTGAGTGAAGATTGACTGAGTTTTCATCAGACACTCAGACTTGAAGCCACTTCCGAGGTTCAGTGTTAGGTTAATTTCGAAGACGTGAGAAGACTCTCATGATAACTCGTTACTCCAGCGCACTTCAAGTCAGGTATTCATATAACCCCACATTCTTGACGCACAGACGTCATTCGTATTGAGAGTGCCATTACCGAGAGCCACTGAGCAATGTCAGTGTCAACTGAAGCTCTCCGGAAGGCAGTAAAGTGCACAATTTGCCAAGAGACTTGTGAAAGGCCCTATCGTCTGCCATGTGAACATTTCTTCTGCAGAAAACCCTGTTTGCAGCGTTTGCTCAATACAGAAAACCCAACCTGCCCAATCTGCAGACGAGCCTTCTCCGGAGCGGACATACAGCCCTTCCGTTTCGTTGCTCATATCACCGGTCTTCTGAAGGAGTCTTCACAAGGAAACCAACAGAACGAGGTATCAATGTGTCCCATCTGCGTCCGGCGGGTGCAAGCGCCACTGCAAATGTCGGAGCTTTTTTCGCAACAGGTGTGCAAGGATTGCATTAGGACGGGGAGAAATGCTCCATGAGTATGCTACGGACGGAACTAGCGAGGAAGGAACTTCGAGTGGCGTTGGCAGCAGTGAAAGAGATGCCCTGCAGCAGAACCAGCAGTACAGGGTAGCAGCAGCAAATCCCCTCTGCGTCTGGTCGGTACAAACACTGCTCCCAGATCCGAATCACTTTTCGAAAAGGTTGTGCGATGATTGTATTAGGAAGGTGATTCGACGGAAATTAGTGCAGAGGGGATTCGGATTAGCATTAGCTGCGGTAAACAAGTTGCTCGGCAAGACAACCCTAAAAGAATCAAACGCCTCTGACGGGAAATCTACTCTGAAAGTGAAAGATGCCTCACGCAGAATTGGCAAGCGCGACTCAGTACAAGGATCGCTGACGTCCATTTCAGCAATGTCCCTGCAAGTTATAATTAAAAATCAAACAAGCTAATTTACCTTTTCCCTTGCAATTGACAGTCTTACATGTTATTGCATCTTCTGCATGTTTTTTGTTGCCTTTGTTAAATTTGTATACGCGATATAGCTGGTTTAGAATGACATTTGTTCCCGTTTTACAAGACCGTACACGGCGATTGGAATTTAAACATTGCAGTACCGTTGTTTTTCGCAATTGGCAGAATTTTTTGCAATAGCTACGTATGCCAGACTGAATCTGCTTGAAAAGGCGTAAAGTTCGCTGGGCTGATTACACTGCGCATAGAGTACTTTTGTCTGAAAGGTTAGCAAAGGTGGCTATACCGTTCTCCAAGTGATCGAACTGAGCAGAAATGTACGATTCCATTGGAAATTCGCAATTTCTACTCAACGCAATTGCAAGATCAGCATGCTAGTCATCTGATCAATCTTTGCCACTTTGCTCAAATGACGGCGTGGGTTCGAATCCCACCGCTGACAACGAGTATTTAGCATCCGTTTAGGGACTAGAGACTCTGTGGTGCAACGGTAGCCCTCTGACTCCAGATTAGAAAGTCGCGTATTCAGATCACGTTGAGGTCACCAATATTGCAGTATTTCAGGGTATCAGGCAGATCCCACCCGCTACGACCTTTGGAGCCGTTTCCATATTAGTAAGGAAGAAGTGAGACGCAGACTGTGAGGATAGTATTTTATATGCAGGAACTATTGTTAAAGAGGCTGGATGGAGTTGGCAGCCAGACGTGTTGCCGTATATTCTTTCAGTTTGTAGCACACGCGTCAAACGGCTTGACCAATCTTGCGACTAGAAGTAGTTGAAGTTTGCAGGTTTCTTTATCTGACATGTAAATAAGTGCGTTAGTTGAGCATAGAATTTCCACAGGTTTCTACGAATAATCTGATTTGAACGCCTTTTAATTGTGGCTCTTATTACGCTTTGTAGAATGAAAACCGACAGAAATATTTTTGGGACTGAAATAGTTCTGTTTGAATGGACTGTTCGGTTGTATATGTGGCCTCCATTTTCGGTGGACACCTGTTAGCATAGACAAACAGGAAGAATTCACACTTGGAATTCCAGAGCTAGGTGGTAAGCATAAACGTCAGCACATAGAATTAAAACGCCAAAACCTGGAAATCTGGAAAAACAAAGTCGCTAATTATCCCCTGAAGCTAAATTCAGTCGCTGTCAGAGGCGCACAATGTGAAAACTCTTCATCATTTCATTACTGCGATGGAGTAGTTCGTTTCAGTGGCATATGAAAGCCCTACGTTGGCACCCCACCTGGCTCATTTCGACACCACAATATTATCTCCCTGTGATTATGACATTTATGTTCTCGTGCAGGACAGCGCTAAGATCAAATTACGCAGGCTGAAACCCGACACCCATAAGGATGAGGGTGAACGGAGCAACAAAATTTACACAAAACAATGTGAACTGAGTGATTCATCTCAGAACAAAGACGTGAGTGGCAAATTGAGGGGCAGGAGCTGGAGTTGGCCTTATCTGGACGATGGCTACTGCTCCTCCAACGTGACGCATTGTCCTATGGTCGAATTTATAGCTATTCAAAAGCTGATGTGTTCCAAATATTCCTCAGACCATTTAACAAGTACTGGATTCCGACGCAAAGAAACACATTTGGTGACCTGCTACAGATATATGGCCATGATTATCTTTGTTCCGGTTCGTTCTTTCCTCACATCTTTGCGTATGTGACTTTTATTCGGACAATCCAGTGCAAGCATCTAACGGATATATATGAATTCGTTTAACATGCCCCACTCTACGAAAATGTCCAGGACAATGAAGGTAATAAGAACGATTTGGACTGGATCGCAGATAGAAAGAAATGCAAACAGGGCCTCGGCCGCTGTCAGGACCGTGGACCCTGTCTTAATTTGTCAGGCTACTTTCGGTGTCAGCCAGTTTGACTGAACAGGTACAGGGGGACCGGCAAATTGGCCGGCAGTATGTCCGACTGCGAAAGCATGGATGAAAACTAACTTCCCCAAAGGTGGAAAAGGTTAATGTCTGGAGGGAGCTACCTGCATGCGGGCGAAAGGACGTCGTGCAGATAGATGTCCGTCAGTGGGTGACACTTGTCAAGGTATAGTACCCCAAAGACATTGCATTTAACTTCAACAATTACGAATTATTGAATGACTGAAGTAGTATGCATGCCGAGATGTCAAAAGAAGAAAGAACGCTTGGCGGAAAATCGAGTTTTAATCCCGAATTTTCAAGCAGGCAACATCGGTCCTTTGTCAGATTAAATGAGAAGTGGGGTCGCAAATATCGCACTAGGGGGTTTAGAGCAGAGGTAAATCGCACAGGAGGGGGGGTTGGGGGGGTGATTAGTGTGACGTGAATAGCACTGCGATAGGTGCTGCAAGTGGGAGGGGCTGTGAACGTTTACATTGTGGGTCACGTGTCGGAGGTATGTGGAATCAGTGAAGTTCACCTTGGCCGAACACGAACAGACGGTTTTTGCTTCATGCTGAGCGCAATTAAGTGGACCGTACACGCAAACCTTCATAATGTGAATCAAAGTCTACGTTCCTGTTGATGCTGTTTGTGCCGGAGTGCCAAGCTTCGTGAAATTCTTGTGTCTGTTTTTTGTCAGCCGTGTCGACCACGTCGGTTTCTTCCCAATTGAGGTGGTGGTCACAATCAATAAAGTGCGCAAACACGAGGCACAATGGATCACGTTCTCGGATAGCCAGTTTATATTCATTAATGCGGATCCCGAATTACGAATTATTGTTAATTATCCTAAGGGCTGTTATGTTGATTATTTGGTCTAATTGGTAAGGTAAGAAGGGATCACCGATTGACCCTTCTGTCCGGGGTAACTGTTGAGGCCGTTCTGCCGAGGCTCGAGGGACAAATCTGTTCCTTCTGTCCACCATTCTGGGCTAGATTCTGCGGCAAAACCTTTGTCGCAATCAAGAAGAACAACATATGGAAGTCTTGCGGCCTTGTGGCATGAGTGCGTTAATTTACTGCAGGTTTTGGTCCCAAATTTCGCATTAAGGAAAGCCATTATGTCCGACAATCACCTTGTCAGGTGCTTCAAATTTTCACGAAGATTGCTTACGGTGTCCTTCACGGTGAAACATATGTATATTGATTACGGTCACCCCGTGTAATAAAAAAACAACAACTTCTTTCCTGCGTTTTGTCACAAAAAATCAAACTTTAGCAAACACTAATGTTTGGAGCTGATTTTTTTTAAAGTGCCGCTCAGTTTATTTGAGAAAAATGTGGGTACGGACTTTCGAACTCACTATTCGTTTTCATGGGCGTTGTGATATCAAACACGTTAAAATATAACGGTAACTAAAAGACAAGATAAAGAAACGGGCACCATTGCAATGAACAGGTGGAACTACATAACGATGATGCAGTCAATAATATTAGACCAGACGAAATTCAAGAAAGTGCAGACAGAAATGGGTTGCGCATAAGTTGTAGAGGTGCAGCTGACTAACAGCATAAGTAGACTCCATGCAGAAGTTTCCATAAGTGACCGTGACTTTAAACGCCTCCGACCAGTAGGCATTCGAATCCTCCGTTTGTATGCTCTAGCCGGCTGGTTCGTCTGATTTTGCACATGCCCGATTCGCTGTATAATGCGATATCAAAGTGGTTAACAGAGGAATTCAAACTATACAACATCGCTTAGCCTCAAGTAGCTATCGTGTTACTTTCGACTTTATTGTTGGCTTCAAGTACATTAACTTTAACGGTATGATGCTGCTCTCCCTGGACGTCTCCTCGCTGTTTAAAAATGGTACGTTCACCGAGACAGTCTAT